TAAACTTGATATCTAGTACCAAAAGAACCTCAAATATTTCATATGATGCGCCAATTTTCTTAGTTTTTCTCAAACACATTACGAGAAAGTGGAATATAGGTTCCTAAAATCTAATCAACTACCATTATTTTCTTTGTTTGCAATTTGGATTTGACGAAGTTTTACTTTGGGATCCCAGTAACGTAATACTTATTTTTAAAAGTGCTGGTAACGTTTTAGATTTGAATATTAAATATTTTAAGTGACGATCGTCGTTAAATGAGCACGAATTATTTTTATTCTAGAATAAATAAGCGGAAATATGCAAAAACCTTTGTCGGTATCAACACAAAAAGTGCGACAATTTCTTTTCATGCAAATTTATTTTTCAAACACAAAACACAATACGACCGTTTTTGTATTATGACCTTGGTCAAATAAATCAGCTGGCACAGTTCGTTTAGGGAAATTATACAACAAACAAACGTGTGAAAAATTATGAAATTTTCAACATTTCGTCATTGGGAAAATGAAATATTACCTTCTCTCGGGGTTTCTAGTGAGACATTAAGGATTTTATTAATAGACCAAGAAATAAAGGTGAAAAATCATGGAGAACTCGTAAAAATGGGCTCGATCGGTCAAATAGTTTCTGCAAAATGCTACTGGCGCGTACCCTTATTTTGACGGGCTCTGGATCGATCAATTATGGGCAAATTCAATTAAAATTAACAGGGTATAAAGTTTAAACCTTCATTTACAAAATGTTAAAATTTCAGGTCTTAATGTTTATAACAAATTGTTCTGTGATTAAAAAAAAAATGCTAACTCCGGACCTATTGCTATTGGTCGTAGAAACTTGTTTTTTTTTTCAATTTGTAGGTTTTTTTACGAGCTTTTGAATGGTGTATATAACTTCTTTCAAAAGTTAAAAACAGCGGAGTTATTTTATTTGTTTATTAGGAAAAAAAGTGCCTTCTATTTGGTAACAATTATAAACAACTAAATTTGAATAAAAAATATTCTTTTTTAACTAGAGGATACTTGGTGTCTCTTCGAAGAAATTGAGCCGAAAAATAATGTTTTAGTCATAACTGCCCCCGGAATAGTTGAAAATGGGCCTTTTTTGGAAAAATTGGATAAATAATTGGAATTTTGCAAAAACTATTTGACCGATCGAGCCCATCTTTTGCACATCTCTTAAGGATATAAAAACTCACATTTTGGGAAAGTTTGGTAAGATTTTATTAATTATTTAAAAAGTTATTAACAGTTAAAGAAAAAACACTTTTTCCGTTTAATTTTGCAATAACTTTTTTGTTTATAAACCAATTTTAACATATAAAGTCTCATTTTAAAGATGAGTTTCTCTAGATCAAATCGTCTGTTGAACTTTTTTGCTTATGTTAATAGTTTTTTTACAATAACGCGTAGAACGAAAAATGACGAAATTTTGACCTATTTGTTGGTAAAAAACAACGACGCTATACTTTTTTCATGACCCATTTGATGAGACGCCTTTCGTATTATAATTCCCAAGACTTTCCAACAATAAAATCACGCCCAGTAATTAATAAATTTCAAAATGTTTCCTTCCCTGGTCTATAACAAAAACGAACAAAAGAGAAAATTACTGCCATATTCTATGAGTGTTTGTTGTTTCGTATGTACAAGATCCTCGCCGATTGTTATTGTTTTCTACTTTTACGACTTGTGCTAACAACCCACAAAATGTAGGACAATGTTTATAAGAATATCATAATATTATTCACTTGTGTTCTATATATAGAAATTAGAACAGTTAATATTAGCTACTTTCAATATTAATTCTGTCATACAAGGTCGTGTCCGTAGGGTAATTTAAGGGACGTTATCTCCTTGGATATTTTTCTCCATAATTTTTAATCGATTGAATAATGTTGTATCTCTCATTAGCTATAGTTAATATCTTCACAGTATTGTCAAAGTTTGGTAGAAAAACACATTAAATTCGTATCGATATGAAGAACTGATTACGGTCCTGCAGAAATAAATAGTTCAAAAACAGCCTTGAGAATTTTCTGGCACATATCTTTGTACAATACATTTTTTACTGAAAATAACAATTGCTCTCAATTTTGTTAAACCCAAATTTAGAAATATTCCTTCAATTTTCAACTGCTAACAGATATAGTACAAAAATTGGAGATAAATGTTATCTAATGGACGACTAATGTGTTTAATTAATTAAATTAATATTCCGCAAACAGGCATTTTTTAAACTGAAGTTCAAGTAGAGGCGATATACCATATAAATCTTATATACTGGAAAAATAGATAAATAAACAACAATGTTAGTGTTACTAGTTTGCATCAGTATAGAATTTTAAGACATGCATATCAAAATAATAAGATTCTGACTTTATAAACAAGAAATAGAAATATAATTAGCACAAATCGACACCCCAAGTGCTATGAGGTTGTAAAAATGTACCTGATTAAATTAACACAATCGCAAACAGGAAATCGCTGGAACGAAATATTTTATCTTATTTATATGCTTAACAACTAATACACAACAAACAGCGCTTATTTTCCTCATCACAACGGCATTTATCTCTAAAACGATGTATGTGTTACAAAATTCCCGTATTATTTAAGAATTACTGCTTTTATACATACTTTAAAATGTTTCGTGTTACGTGAGTAATAAATTTCCCACTAAACATTTTTCAGTTTCTGACATGCTTCAGAAACGTTTCCATTTTTCTTGAAACGTTTCATAAAAAATCCATGCAACCTTCTGGTAACGTTCTAGAAGCCCAAGATTCCTCCCCGAAATACGTTTCCAATGAAACGTTTCAAAAAATTGGTTTCAGTAACATCCTTTTTATGTTCCATTTATGCCCTCGATATTTTTGTTTTACGTTTCAGTATATTTTCAGAAATGTTTGAGTAACATAATAATTTTATTACCATATTGTTCTCATAATGCTCTCAACTTTAGATCATTTTCATTTCAAAGGCGTTTTTGAAATAGTATAAATAGTGTGAGTATTTTTTTAAATATCTCTAATACTCCTTTGTGATATTTTTATTTGTATTGTGAATGACTTAATTCGAACTAAAAAAAGTTACAAAGTATATTAAAAAAAATAAATATGCTCTTCTAGTTTGGGGATGCGGCAACTTTTACTAAGAATTTCTTTCTTTTTGAGAAGCCACTGAAAAAAGTTTCTAATATGGATTACGAATTTTGCCATTCATCGTACAAATAAAAATATCACAAAACAATATCAGAAGCATTAAAAAAAAGCTACACATTTTATATTATTCAAATAATACTCTTCTGAAATGGAAATTTTCTAATGTTGAGACCATTATGAATATGGTAACAATGATGAACTGATAATTAGAAAAAGTTAGTTATGATTATGAATCTTGAAATGGTAGGTACATGAAAAACTAATAACATTACTGGAAAATAATATAAAGTTATAATTTCTTCTACGCATGGTCAATATTACATATTATATCCTTTTAATAATAATAAATTATACAGCAGAAATAAGGATACAAAATGATATCTTGACAAAGTAAATATCTGTAGGTATACCTAAACTCTTTTATTTAAGCATGCCTATACACAAAAACAAATATAAACATTTGTACAAAATATAAAATAAATGACGTCTATTTCACTTGATTCATCCATATTTCAAATAGTTCTCACTGACTAAGTAGTTGCTCTTCAAATTATATCGAAACGTATAGTTGTTGTTCCATTTTCTTAATTCTTGTCCCTTGTCCTCTTGTCTGTAATAGGTAGTGGGTATAACTATATTTAGGTAGATGTGACGCAAAATTGGAAATCTACACATATCGTTTTAAACATTTTGCATCAATATTCATTATTTTATATGCACCTTACAATAACTACAACTACACACACTACAAATTATCACATAAAATAGCGTCAAAGTAAAGATGAATAACAACGAAACCAAGCAAACTGACAAACCGCAATCCTAACCTAACATAATACGAATTGAAACGACACACGGGAAACAAATAAAGTCACGACGCAAGTCACGAACATACGTTTTTTCTAGACTTGTGTTATAAATATGCTACCACATTTTTTTTTTCTAATTATGTTTTTATATAAACAAAGGCAAATGAACTAACGCTTGAGGTGTGGGGATTGAGAGCAAAATTTAACTAATGCCGAATGTTCCATAAGATAAGCAAAAATAGCAAAGGGTTGTTCGTCTGTTATGTTTCCGAGATCGAAAGGGAATGTTTCGAGTAATGTTTCAAACTCTCTTCAATTGTAACGTTTCGGCTATGTTTCACTAAATAAGTTTTCAAGTGCTACATTTCTGTAATGAAACAGAAACGTTTCTAGTTAATGTTTCAAATGTTCAGTAAAATATCTCATTTGCAACGTTTCATTTACGTTTCGTGTTTAGTGGGTTCCTTATGTGGGCGATAATTAATTTAAAATGTGCATGCGACAAGTTCTTGTATATAATCGTCAACTTGTTATTGTTCAACTTAATAAGGAAATTACAAAGTTCCAATTCAAGATACTCGGTTATAGTTTTTATGGCACGCGTGAAAACCATGTTGGGAAGATGGTTGGAGAGAAATTTTTCGTAACATGCACTGTTCTAAATTTAGAGTTGAATTGTGACTTATCAGTTGCATCACTAGACATGTTTAGTCATAATGATACGGTAATAGTCCGTAACTATTACTCTTTCTATAACATTTTCTCTTTTTTAGGGGGAATAATTTTTATATTCAACCTCAACTGTTCTTAGTACTAAGAAAGTGTAAAAAAAAATCAGCAGTGATTATTTTTTTTCACGCAAGCAGATTGTTGTTGTTTTAATGTAGGTACTCGTATTATTAGAATATTCATTGCTTCCTGAATTATAACTATGAATAAAGCTTTTCCGTAATTTGTGATAATAATTAGTTGTATTTGAATATCTAACAAAAGATTTGATTTTTAATTTTATTATTTCTGCAATTTTCAAATTACAATCAAAAGGGCGCTGATCTGTATGCAACTAGACATTGCACTTATTGTATTACTGGTTGCCTGAGGTTAAATAAATATCTTTCAAACAAAAATATTGAAAAAAGTATCTGAAAAGTAAATAAAAACCCAAGTGAATGTTGACAGGAAACTTTTATTAGGATGTTCTGTGGTATAAGCCTTTCTTTAAATTACATAAACAAGGACGAACTTCATAGCAAAGCACGGAATTCTTTGAAATACGATTTTTTTATTAAGGTCGTTGATTACAAATAATACCTATAACAATTATAACCAAGATTTTTTTGGAATTTACAAATTTGTGAATAAACCAAAACGGAAATAGAAGTCCATTTTTTTAAGCCGAAGACCAGGAAGACAAGTGTAGTCTCCATGCTGAAGACCATCGTTTAGATATGTGCGAGTTGCCTTTCTTTGAATAAAGCTAACCTAAAAGTGGCAAAATGGATAATGATAATATATCTCAGCAGTCTGATGAGATTGAAGTACTTAAATCGATTTTTGAGGATCAATGGGAAATCGATACTGAAACTGGAACGTATAGCATGCAGATCGATCAGAATGTAAAATTGTTTATAACCTTAAGCCCCGATTACCCATCAAGTGCACCCCCTAAATATGAATTACTGGCACCTACGTTAACTAGCTCCCAGAAAGATATAATCAAGACTGAATTTCAACGTATATATGAGTAAGTGTCGGTAACCAGGTGTGACCTAATAGTAGTTTTAAATTAAGTTTAACGACAAATATGCTTTTTCAACGTCACTGAAAGATATAGACATTTTTGACATTTCTTACCCGTTTTCCAAAACAGCAATTTTGATTTTTATATTTTGCAAATTTGACCCTTTAATTAATTGTATAGAATGTTATTTTTTTCTATTACGAGTCAAGTACTTCTTTTTAGAGAAGAATGTGGCAACCCAATTATTTTCCAGTGGATAGAAAAATTGAAGGAAATCGTTTCCAAACCCACACCAAATGAAAATTCTTTGTGTGATATTAGTCTAAATGCTTTAATAGTAACTAATGTGGATCAAACCGGTCAGAGTAGTAAGCGGGAAGTAATGAACGTTACACACGGCCTTACAATAGTCGATAGAAAAAGTGTGTTTCAAGGACATGCTTGTGCGGTAAAGGATGAGAAGAACGTAAAGTAAGTCGGTAAATGTCCAAATTGTCGTCTTTTCAGACTGAATTAGTTTATTTTTAGGGAATTTATGAATTACTTATTAGAAAATAAAAAAATCGCTCAAGCTACTCACAACATATCTGCCTACAGAATATCGCTGCCAAACTCTGTGATTGTACAGGTAATATGGGTACAAATTTATGTTTTATGTGATTAATTCATAATTTAAAAAGTGCACAACGTATCCACATGCAGTGTGTAACTTTTTAGGACTGCAACGATGACGGAGAAGCACATGCATCTGGTAGAATACTCCATCTACTTCAAATTTTAAAGCTTACGAATGTCATGGTCGTTGTGTCGAGATGGTAAGGGGCAACTAGTTTAGTATATAATGTGGAACTTTGTGCATAAATGCTTTTTTTTAGGTACGGGGGTATACATTTAGGTCCCGATCGATTTAAACATATAAATAACGCAGCGCGGCAGGTTCTCTTGCAAGGTGGATTTATAAAGGCGTGATATGATAATATGTACCGTATCGTCAATGTTTCTTCTATCTTGATAAACATTGAATAAGATGTACAAGCCTGTAGAAAATATAAATTAAATTTTTTATTGCTCGCCATTTTTTTTAAAAGAAAATTGTTTTCATCAATATTTTTTTGAAATAATTTAGCTATTTGAATTATATGGTTTTTGTCAAAGCTCAGTATAACATATCCATAAATAAATAATATATATTTTACTAATTCTAGTGTTTTATTTGATAAATATGGTTTTACTAAATTTTTTGCGTTAGAAAAAGGTCCGTTTACTGCAATGCTTTATTTACCTACCTTAATAACAATTAGTTATATATAAGTATTACGACTCTTCACTAATACCAAAACTAAATCTAAAACTATTATCTGAAGGCACAAAATTAAAGTCTTTCTTATTTTGCTTGGTATCCCCACTAGGCTCAATTTTTATATTTTGTACGCCATTACTTAGTTCCTCGCTCTCGTTATCGTTAGAAGGATCAGAAATAAATACGAACTTGTTTCTTGAAGAAGGGAAGCTAGACTTTTTCACAAACACTGATTTTTTGCTTGGCACTGATTGCTTAACTCTTATATTCACTGCGTCTGTAAAAAAAAATTAATAGTAATTCCTTCATAAAATTTATTTACTTGTACTGAAACATACTTCTAGAATACTTCTTTTCTTCAGCTGCCATCTTCATCCTATAATCTCCAAATGATAACCTCATTATTTGTCGTTTCTTAACTAATGGCGCAGAATTACTCATTAGAGTATTTAATGCTTTAATATGGTCTTGTTCTAAAATGACAATAGTTATCAAAAAATATATATATAATTATTATATGCTCTTTACCCTGCTTGTTGTTCAATTTTCCTGATTTAAGGGCAATTTGAATTTGATGTATGCACCAACAGAGTTCCATTTCAAATTGATGTTCTAATTCCAGTTTGGGTGCAACAGAAACACTTGCATTAATTGTTTCTTTCACTTTCATTTTCTGAGAGTCTTCTACGTTTTTGCCACACTTCTTGTATTTTGGAGACATTGTTGAATTTATCTAATCGATAGTTTCATGTACAAATCTAGAAAAAAGTTGCTCAAAGTATGGTAAATAATTTATTTATATTTATAAATTAGAAGTTAGGTTAATATTACACATATCGATTTGACAGCGCAAAACATACAGTTAGGTTAGATTGACATTTATATTTGTTTGTCCAAAAGCGGTTTTCGGGTGCAACGATTGGAGCACATCAGAGCGTTCTATAGGTGCTTTCGGGTGCAAGTGGAGTGCTCTGGAGGGCCCCAGAGTACTCTAATCGATACACCCGAAAGCAGCTCAAGCAGGGTTGCCAGATTGGGCTACTTATCGCCAATTGGGCTATCTCAGATGACTTTCGGCTACTTGAAAAAAAGCAAAAATAGCCAATTTGGGCTATTTCGAGTTTTTACCAGTGTCGGCAATCTGTACAAATCGAATGTTAGAATAGTATATTTATATAAATTCTTTTTTTACTCAAGATTTAAGTTTATTTTTTTTCTTTTGTACATAGAATAAAACATATTTTATTCGACTTATATTTATTCATATTTTATATACACATTTCTGTATTGTAGAATCATAGAATAATAATAATATTTTTTTTTATTTTAATATTTTAACGGTTGTGCCTTTATTTATCTTCGAATTGTCCGTATACGTTTTTAGAAATAAGTCTACTTTTAAATTAAATGAAGCCATTCATAATAAAAGCACTAGACAAAGTAAGAAATTCCGCCACATTCCTTTTTTTTAAAACAAAATATCTTGTAATTCACCATTTTATTTAGGTTTAAAAGTTTTTAACAAATTGCCTTCTGAGATAACGAACACAAATAATTCTGTATTTTTTAAGAAGAAGCTGCATAAATACTTAATAAGAAATACATTTTATACTTTAAATGAATTTTTTGATTCTTAATGTATCTAGAGTAGATAGTTTTAAGTTATTTTAAGTATAAAAAAAATGTGACAATTCCTATACAATGTCTGTCTTCAAGGAAAATAAAGTTTATTATTATTATTATTATTATTATTATTATTATTATTATTATTATTATTATTATTAATTGAATGATTCTGACAAATCGTCTTTTCAATCTTTAAAGATCTTCAAAGTTGCAAGAGGAACTATCTACAAATATTTAAATAATCTAAAATAATTGAAAATAAAACTTTCTAATGCCTTTATAACTTTTCTAATATTTTCTTTTAACTGAATATCAATTCTGTTAATATTTTATATTGACTTATATTTGCAACAAGGACGCTAATTTATTGTTGTCCAATTGTATTTTAAATGTTTTAGATTTATATTAGTAAGTTTTACAATAATCGTAATTGTCTAAAATTGTCTGAAATATAAAAAATGGAGCCCTTAGTGCTCTAGAAAAGAATATCAACTTTTTGTTTATCCACACATTTCTGCAATACTTACCTTATATTGACAATTTTTCTCTGTTTCACGAAATAAAAACAAAATAAAATCGTGAATCACCACCAATTAAGTCAGTAAATATACGTCTCCACATTTACATCGCATATCAGAATTGAGGGAATAAACATAAATCAGCGAAATCCCATAGTGATAAATTATTTTAATATACGTTATGTATTCGGTTATTAAAAATGTATACCGCATAGTGTTATAAAACAGTCGAGCTGTCGTACCGGTTCCGTGAAAGTTATACGATATATTAATATTAATCAAACCAGTTAGTTGCTGAATCGAGAACTATAGTTGTATAAAAAAAAACGTCGTAAAGTATACTGATTTTGCTTCAATAAAATCCCCATTGGACATCCTCAAAAGATATCATCTACATTGACTGCGCCAAATTACTATAAAATTATTTATTGCTGCTTTTTTATTACGATACAGTAATTTATGTTTATAATTTACAGGATTTTTTTTTAATTTGTGAAGTGGGAAATAAGTTCCTCTAAGTATAGTCAGTGGAAAGTTAGTGCTATAAACGTAACCTGAAAAAGCTGCAAAAAATATACCTAGTTGCAATTTATCGTTCGTTTTATACCATTATATTATGTGTACAGTGTGGCCCATTGGTTTTTCAGCCACCCAGTAACATCTTTCTTTTTGTGCAATTTTAACCGGATTTTTTTTTAGATGTATAGTTTGATGAAGTGTGCTTTGTGAAGGAAAACGTGTGTTATCCCACAAAATCCAAGGCGTACTATGTTCGTTTTTAGCAGTAAAATTCTAATATTTCATATTAGGGATTTTTTGAGATAAAATATATTTACGCCAATGGCTTAAACGACCCGCCAAAACGGGTCAATACCAAATTTTATCAACAAATTTTAAACAAATTCAAAAGTCTATTTTTTTTCATTAATTTATTGTTGATATCAAGTTGTCCATGAAAACAAAAAATGATGAGAGAAAGTACCTGTCAGAAAATGCCTGGCACAAACTAAAATAAAAGCTTGAAACCAAAATGTGTACCTACATACTTTGGAATTGGGATATGACGAAAGCCGTTGGAAGTTTTGTTATTAGCTACAGGAAATATTTAAATAATCCTAATTTTTTAGTGGAATTTTATTTAGTGATGAGGCCACATTTACTACAAATGGGGTAGTTTTGTCCCAAAATTGTCATTGGTCAGCTGAAAATCCAAAATTCAAACGCAAAGAGGCAGTGTTTGCAAAAAGTTAACGTTTGGTGTGGAATAATAGAATAATGAAATAATAGAATTGGTCCTTTCTTTTTCTGAAGGCAATTTTAATGCGAATAAAATTTTAAATTTTCTTAATAATGAATTTCGGAACGCGTTAGATGATTTGCCTTTAAGAAATCTTCTTAATCTAAAATTTCAATTAAATGGTAGCTCTATTCATAACGCTGTTGCAGTGAAAGAATGGTTAAATAAACATTTTGAGAATTGTTGGATAATGCGAAATAGTCCTTTAATTGAGTGGCCACCGAGATCCCCGGGCTTGATGCCATTAGATTTTTTTTTCTTTGGGGTTTATTGAAACAAAAACTGTACACGAACTACGTGCTAGGATAATGCAAGCCTGCGCAGAAATTACCCCAAACCAAACACAAAAAGTTATTACGAACGTAATAATTGAGAAGTGCATAGAAGTAAATGGTGGATTGATAGTAAGGACAAGATTATAATTATTTAACTTTTGTTGGTTCCAGTTATATTTTTAAATTTGTCAAAACTAAGATTTTTAATAATTATTATTATACCTTACTAGAGTTTAATTAATTTCATGTTTTTCAACAATAAATTAATGAAAAAAATAATAATAATAATTAAAGACTTGTGTATTTTTGATTTCGCTAAAAAAATCGTTATTATTTAAAATTTTTTGGTAAGATTTAGTATCGGCCTGTTTTAGGGGGTCGTGAATGCAGTGGCATTTTTTCTCAAAGAATCCCTAATACGAAATATTAGAATTTTACTCCTGAAAACAGTCGTCGTACGCATTAGATTTTGTGAGATCAGGCTCATTTACTTTCACAAGCTCTACATCTTAAAAAAAATCCGGTTAAAATCGCACAATAAATAAAGATTTTACAGGGTGGCTTAAAAATAAATAGGTCACACTGTGTAATATAATTTAGTATAATTTATTTATTTATTTATTTATTTATTTATTTATTTATTTATTTATTAATTAATTTATTTATTTATTTATTTATTTATTTATTTATTTATTTATTTATTTAT